AGGTAATTAGTTTCAGATGTCATGAAAATAGAGCTCCCACAATGGGATTAGTACCCTGGGAGGAAGAAGAGACACTAGAGCTCCTTCTTGCTTATGTGAGGACACACAGCAAGAAGTTGCTGCCTGCAAGCCAGGAAAAGGGTCCTCGCAAGGACCAAATTTGCCAGCACCTTGGTTTTGGACTCTCAGCCTCCAGAACTGTGAGAAATAAATGTCTTATATTTAAGCAACTCAGTCTGTGGTATTTTGTTATAGCAGTCCAACAAGAATAAGACATCCACTCTTCATGTTCTATTCCAACTTACCAATTTCAGTGGATTTCCTCACCAGCCAGTATCTAGTAAACAACAGTTGCCGACTTAATAATGTAATAATCCTACTGAATTGATCATCTCTCTTTGGGACAGAGTTTTTACTCTGTTGTCTCAGCCTAGAATGATGTGGCATCATAGCTCACAGCCAGCAACCTCAAACTCCTATGCTCAAGCAACCCTTTTGCTTCAGTTTCCTGAGTAGCTGAGACTACAGATTCCTGCCACAACAACCACCTAACTTTTCTATTTTTATTTTTTATTATTTTTATTTTTATCTTTTTTGAGACAGAGTCTTACTCTGTGCCCTAGGTAGAATGCAGTGGCACCCTGTCTCACAGCACCTCAAACTCAGGATCAAATGATCCCTTTGCCTCAGCCTCCTGAGTAGCTGGGACTACAGGGGCCCATCACAACACCTGGCTGTTTTTTAAAGACAGGGTCTCACTCTTGCTCAGGCTTGTCTCAAACTCCTAAGCTCAAGCAATCTACCTGCCTCGGCCTCCCAGTGTGCTAGGAGTGCATGCGTAGTCTACTCTGCCCAGCCTAATTTTTCTGTTTTTAGTCAAGACACGATCTCACTCTTGCTCGGACTGGTATCAGGGAAAAAAACTACCATGAATCACTCTTCTCAAAGATATATTCTCACTGGCGCATGCCCATGTCTCCCTAACTTTGTCAGCTATCCTCAGAGGACATTGCAGAGAACATGCTCCAAAATTATTCTTTAGGAGCTGTGTGGCTAGGAATTTATTCATTCATAAATACGTTCTTGCAGATTGGTGTTCCTTTTTCTGATTATTCTGTTTTAATAGTTCTGTGTGAATATATCTAAAACCATATGCCTGTTCACAGATTCTTTTTTTTTTTTTTTGAGACAGAGTCTCACTCTGTCACCCTCAGTAGAGTGCTGTAGCATCACAGCTCACAGCAACCTCCAGCTCTTGGGCTTAGATGATTCTCTTGCCTTAGCCTCCTGAGTAGCTGGAACTATAGGCGCTTGCCACAAGACCCAGCTATTTTTTTGTTCCAATTTGGCCGGGGACAGGTTTAAACCCACCATCCTCAGTGTATGCGGCCGGTGCCCTACTCACTGAGCCACAGGCACCTCCCAATCACACATTCTTTATGCCCTATACATGTGAAATTTTCTTTGACCATGGTTTTGGGATAACAGGTTAATTTCTCTTGCTTTTTGTGGTTATTTCTTAATGAGCTAACTTTGCCTACATCCTTCCTTTTATAACTATGTTATAATATAGGTTACTCCTCTAATTTTTAATCATAAGCATTGCAGATAGAGCTCCAAATGTTTAAATATCTATATTACAGTAGTTGGGGGGGGGGCTCTTCTATGTGCCAACTGCTTTTTATTATTTTTCATGGACTATTCAACTTAATCCTCCCAACAGTAAGAGATACATGTTATCCCCTCTCATTACCAGAAAATGGGGGGAAATTTAAAAAGGAAAAAAAATACGTTATCCCAGGTTTTGAAAGAAATGTGTTTGGTGAAGCTAAATAACATGACCAAAGGCACATGGCAGAGCTGGGATCATAACTATTTTCAAAGATCCTTTTTTTCAACAGCAATTTTATAATGTCCCTCAATTTACAATCATTGGGGTATCTTTCTTTCAGATGAAGGGACTGAGGCTCAATAAGGTAACTTGCTCAAATTCACTTAGTTGATTAGTTAAGAGAGCGAGGCTTGAGATTGATTTTGTGACTCAGATTCCAGTACTCTTTCAATTTCAGTTACAGCTTAATTATCTGTGACAAATTAAAGTGCCTCCACACTGAACACTAAAAGCTGGCCTCCCAGTTGGACCCAGGTACTATGCTTCACTTGTTTTCAGATGATGAAACTGAAACTTGGGTAAAAAGAAAAAGAATCGTCTTTGTTTGTTGCAAGTGATCCCTAACCCAGCTCTTTCCATATAGCCTCCCCTACTCTACAGGTACATAAATAATAACTTGTATACCCTTCCCCTACTTAAGTCATTTCTGTATGTTTTTGTCAACCAAACTATCACTAGTTATATTTATTTCATCTTTCTGACTTGGGGTAGGGATATAATTTAACTCTGGTACTCTTATCATAAGGTAATGGCTTGGATTTTTATATTGTTGCCCACATTTCTCCCATTTTCTGCACAGTAAATTCTATAATATAGGAAACATCTCTTTAAACATAATAGATGTAGACCAGACCATTTTTGTCTTATAAGTCAGTTATATACTTAAATGATAATGCAGGTCATTCAGGTGAATATGCCCAGAAACTGGATAGGACATTCTGGCTGATGTAAACTTAAGTCCTGTAAAGCAGCAAATTGGATATAACCGTTCAGTTTTAGAACCTTGTTTGTTCTAGAACCTAACACTATGTTAGTGCTCTATTATATACCAGCTGGCTCATGGTTTTATTTCTTGGTTCTCTTTTGTATTTTTTGTTTGTTTGTTTGTATTTTGTTTTGTTTTTTTGAGATAGTCTTACTCTGTCATCTAGTCTAGAGTGCCATGCCGTCAGCCTTGCTCACAACAACCTCAAACTCCTGAGCTCTAGCTATCCTCCTGCATCAGCCTCCGGAGTAGCTGGGACTACAGCCACATGCAACCACACCCAGCTAATTTTTCTGTTTTTAGTAGAGACAAGGTCTCACTTTGCTCAGGGTGATTTCAAACTCCAAGCCTCAAGCAATTCTCCCACCTTGGCCTCCCAAAGTGCTGGGATTACAGGCTTGCGCCCCAACACCTGGTCTCTTTTATATTTCTTAATCAGTATGTTATTGTGTCTTCTGGGTCCTAGTAGGAGAGTCTGTTTTTCGCTTTTGATTTAGAATCTTTTGCTTTCGTGTAGCATTTCTTTTCTTGAAGTCAGGTGAACTCCTGAGCCCCTTTTTTGACTTTGAAATAGGCCCGACTGTACACGAAATGATTTTACACGTTGATTGTGTTTGTGTGGCTTGAGTTTGGAATAAAGCTATATTAACTTTTTTCTGGTTGTCTAAAAAGTTTACTTGATAACATTCTCCTCTTCCTAAGTGAATATTTTCTATTGAAAAGAAATATGTAGTGGATCACTTGGTTAATTAGAACTAGACTTGTGAAGTAATCTTTCACGCATCACAGGGAAAGTGATGGGGAGTTGGGGAGTATGCTATGAGTTCTAGCACAGACATACTATAACATTAGCATCCCCAATTTTCAAGAAGTTTTTCTAGCCATTCTTTTTGATCAGCAGCTACATCAGTCTGTCCCAGTTAATGGCATTAACTATTTGTGAGTATAAATATGCCTCATCCTGTGTTTCACCAAGATCTCCCCTTCTGTGTAAGGACCATGCATACATTTCAGAACTTTGGTAGCCACTTCGTGGTTTGAGGAAAAACATTTTGCCATGTTATAAAATAGCAGTTCAAAGTGGTGTTCAAAGAGATTATATGCAAAATAGAAAATTTTAGAATCACTATTGCAGTATGCTCTTCTTACATTCTGAACATGTTCATAAGAATGTCTCTGAGTTTGGTTACAAGTAATAAGTTATTGCATTTATTAGAAAACAATTACTTGATTTGGATGGAAATTGTGTAAGCATATTTTCTCTAAACTTTTGGAGAACTAATATATTCTTCTGGCATGTTAGAAATATATATGCTGTATTCATAGAGTATTAGAATTAAAATAGTCTAACATTCCCCTAATGAAAAGATATCTCAAAAATTTTCGAATGTTCCATCCTCTACTCTATTCCAGAATAAGGATCTCATGTAGCCGGGTGCGGTGACACACACCTATAATCTCTGACTCGAGAGGCTGAGGTGGGAGGATTACGCCACTGCAGTTCAGCCTGGCCAACAGAGCAAGACCCCAACTCTTAATTTAAAAAAAGCAAAAAAAAGATCTTATCTGCTATAAAAGCTTTCCTGTGGCCATGAAATTCTTCCCTGCCTTGTATCATGTCTTTGTTTTTCTTTATGTTCCTTTAAACTGATAGACTTATTACAAATGGTAGTTAAAAAAAAAAAAAGTGATAACCCTACAGGATTGGAAAAAAAAAAAAAAAAGGACAGTCACAGTGGCTCATACCTGTAATCCTAGCACTGTGGGCAGCTGAGGTGGGAGCATCCCTTGAGCTCAGGAGATCAAGACCAGCCTGAGCAAGAATGTAACCCTGTCTCTACTAAAAGTAGAAAAATGGCAGGCTCCTATAGTCCCAGCTACTTGGTAGGCGGAGGCAGGAGGATTGGGTGACATTGTGGAACTCTTATCCTGGGCAACAGAATAAGACTCTGTCTTATAAATAATAAATATAAGGGCAGGGTTGTCGTTTTAACTATACAGAAAAGATTTCTGTGTCAGCTAGCAGCATGGCTATAAAAGAGTACATTATATGAGAGAAATTTATGACTTCTCTATTCAAGATTTTTTTGTTTGTTTTGCACTTTTGGGCCGGGGCTGGGTTTGAACCTGCCGCCTCAGGCATATGGGGCTAGCACCCTACTCCTTTGAGCCACAGGCGCCTCTATTCAAGATATTTTTGAATCATGAAATGCTTGAAACTAAATTGTGTACTACCTATAGAATGTTTACCTGTGGTTCAGTTAGCATTAGTTTGCACAATAAAGAAAATAGATACTGTTAATGTCTTTAATCTTGTTTTTGCATTTTCCTATCTGGATGCAGCTGAAAGTACCCATGGCAGACAAGCCTGGAAACACAGTGAATTTCCGGAAGCTACTACTGAACCGTTGCCAGAAGGAATTTGAAAAAGATAAAGCAGATGATGATGTCTTTGAGAAGAAGCAGAAAGAACTGGAGGCTGCCAGTGCTGTAAGTTTTTTCACAGAAATATAATGCTTATCTACTTTGAGTACTGTCAAGCAGAATTTGCATGAAGCCAGATAGAGCATTTCCCTACTATCTTAAAAGGGGCCCCATTTTTAATGTAAAGATGCCATTTTGGTATTTATAGTGCTTTGTTCCTTTTCTTTCTTCTTTCTTTTTTTGGAGGGGGCGGGGACAGTCTCAAGCTGTTGCCCTGGGTAGAGTGTCGTGGTATCACAGCTCATAGCAACTTCAAACTCTTGGGCTTAAGCAATTCTCTTGTCTCAGCCTTCCAAGTAGCTAGGACTACGGGTTCCTGCCACAACGCCTGGCTATATTTTTTTATTGCAGTTGTTATTGTTTTAGCTGCCCACACCGGATTTGAACCTGCCAGCCTTAGTGTATGGGGCCGGTGCCCTACCCACCGAGCTACAGGCACCATCCATTTATTCCTTTTCTTTAGTGCTTAATGTTAAGAGCAATTCAACTCTCCAAGCCAGAGGTTCAGTCTAATCCTAGACTTCAGAGTGGTTGCTTTGTTCCGAAATTGGAAATGGATGAAGACTTTTGAGTATAGTTCAGTTTTCTGATGAGTTAGTCCATAGTTAGCTGTCAGATTCTCAAAGAGCATGTGACCCCCCCAGAAAGGGTGAGGACCATGAATCTTGGTGTCTACAGTACAGTGCAACTTTGATCATCAAGGTGCTATGTTATTCCTTATTTCCCTTCCCTAACAGCCAGAGGAGAGGACAAGACTTCATGATGAACTAGAAGAAGCCAAGGACAAAGCCCGACGGAGATCCATTGGCAACATCAAGTTTATTGGAGAACTGTTTAAACTCAAAATGCTGACAGAAGCTATCATGCATGATTGTGTGGTGAAGCTGCTAAAGAACCATGATGAAGAATCTCTGGAATGCCTGTGTCGCCTGCTCACCACCATTGGAAAAGATCTAGACTTTGAGAAAGCAAAGGTAAAATTTCAGTAACTCAGAAACCTATAGGAGGAATGCTTTGTTGGTGCCAAAGAACTTAGACTGTCAACAAAGAGTTCTATTTTGCCTGAAGAAGTTCAGGCTGGGCTGGGCACCTGTTGCCCAGTGGTTAGGGCACTAGCCACATGCACTGGGGCTGGTGGGTTCAATCCTGGCCCACGCCTGCTAAACAAACAAAATATAACCAGGCATATTGGCAGGTGCCTGTAGTCCTACCTACTAGGGAGACTGAGGCAAGAGAACTGCTTGAGCCCAAGAGTTTAAGGTTGCTGTGAGCTGTGATGTGACAGCACTCTACAGATGGGAACAAAGTGAGCCTCTGTCTCAATTAAAAAAAAAAAAAAAAAAACTCGAAGTAGTCCAGGCTGCTCAGTTTTCTTCTTTTGCCTATCTCATTGTCAGTGTTTGATCATCTTGCTTCTTACCACATTTTCATTAGTCAGAGGTGAGGAGAGTGTGTAATTACATAAAAGCCATTTTGTAGATTGTTTAGATTATTTGGCTCTTGTTTTTCTTTTTTTTTTTTCCTCTACAGCAGTGTTTGTCAAACGTTTTTATCTCATGGCACACTTAAACCTAAAGTTGAACTTCTGTGGCACACTTAAATTATGTTGATTTTTTTAAAAAGTAAAAAAAATACATACTTAACTGTTTTGAATGTCTTTTGGAAAAAAATTTTTTTTTCTTTTTTTTGCGGTTTTTGGCTAGGGCTGGGTTTGAACCCACCACCTCCAGCACGTGAGACCAGTGCCCTACCCCTTTGAGCCACAGGCGCTGCCCTCTTTTTCTTTTTTTGAGACAGAATCTCATTATGTCGCCCCCAGTAGAGTGCTATGGCATCACAACTCACAGCAACCACAAATTCTTGGGCTTAAGGGATTCTCTTGCCTCAGCCTTCTAAGTAGCTGGAACTACAGGCGCCTGCCACAATGCCCAGCTATTTTTTGTTGTTGTTGTTATTGTCATTGTTGTTTAGGAAGCCTGTCATTATGGGTTCAAACTGCCAGCCCTGGTGTATGTGGCCAGCATATTTTAATTAATGAAAATATTTAATTAATGATTTTTAAAAATTTTCATGACACACCGCTTGAAAATCACTGCTATATAGCTATTTCACAAGTCATCTGTATGTATAGCAAATTTTGAATAGAAATGAAGAGAAAAGTTCCTATGGGCCCCATGTAAGGGTGATACTAAAATGAAGACCCAGAAACTTTCTTAAGTTTATTCTTTAATTAATGTTACAGCTAGGCAGCATCTGGAGCTCAGTGGGTAGGGTGCCAACCACATACACTGGGGCAGCCTGGGCCTGCTAAAACAGCAATGACATCTGCAACAAAAAAAATAGTTGGGCATTATGGCAGGCACCTGTAGTCATAGCTACTTGAGAGTCTGAGGCAAGAGAATCGCTTCAGCCCAAGAGTCTGAGGTTATTGTGAGCTGTGACACCACAGCCTCTACCCAGGGTGACTCTGTCTCAAAAAGAAAAAAAAA